AGACACCCCTGGTAGCAAATTTCAAGTGAGAATAAGGTGAATATTAGGAGCAAGAGTGAAAGAAAGTATAAAGAAAAGTATTGGTATTGAAAACGAAAGATAAGTTACATACTCTCTGACCTCTGATAACTGAAACTGCTTACCAATCAATATATTTATGATCTGATTGGAGTGTGAGCTCAGAGTTTGAAGAGTTCCCTCTAAACTGAGAAAAATAACAGTCAATACACACAGTGAACATTTTCATTTCCCATATTTTACTTACATCAGCCCCAAACTATTGTGCAGATGCATGGAAACACAGTATTTCGGCTATCGTACAAACCCTTGTTACTTTGATTGCATTTTGAAACTGGTAATGTATGAAACTTACTAAACCTCCCCTCCTTTGTCTTAGGTAGTGGATACAGAGCTATGATCTTATAAGTAATATTTATTGGAAGATGATTAAATAGTAAAAGAATTATTACTGGTATTTAATTCGTTTTTCATCTGAATGGTGATTTTTTAGGGACTAAATTCTTAGAAAGTACAGCTTCATGGAATGGGAAATTTTGCATTCTCTAATGTTTAGCAAAATGCCATATTTCTGAAGAAATACACTTCCTTTTTCATCACATTTTGATTTTTTACAAGCAAATAAGTGTTCTCAATGCAACAAAAACAATTAGTAGTCGAATTTAAAGGTAGAAACAGGTGCTCCTCATCCTGCTGATGCACGCACGCATATATGGATTGCCACATAAATGCATTTTGGCGATGTAGCGAGTTTTCTTGTGAATAATTTTTAGAGCTACAGATGTTCACAAAGCACCCTTATTTGTCATACAAGCTTAAAAAGTTACTGTCAGCATTTAAAAAATCATGCTTCTGCAATCCAGTCATTTACTTCCAGTGTCACACTGACATTTCTACAGTATTTCAGTATAGGAACTGTGTTTTTAGCTTAGATTATGGGCTGACTCTAATTTAAAAGCCACAACAGAACAAAAATGTTTTTTAGCATTAGTTTTTTTCTTAACTGATGTCAAATGGAGTTTTATGTTGTACACTTATAGATTCTCGACAGATTTTAGAACCTTTCAGATATAGAAAATAAATTATTTGTAAAGTATAAGTGATATATATATTTTACACTGGGTCTATTTTTATATGAATTTAGACCTTGTCAATTTAGCATACTTTTAGAGGGTGAATGTTTATAATGACAGTGTTCGCTAGATACCAGAAAAAGCTAAAGAATAACATGATCGATGCACTTGTATTGGTTTAAATTAGTGTCTTTTCAGATATAAACCAACAAAAGTTGCTGAAACATTTTCTCTGTTTATTATCATTCTATTAAACTCTTTCTACGAAAAGCCCAACAGTGGGCGAGCAGTAAAGTCGATATACACTAGTAGTTCTGTCGGGGGGTCGTAATTTTCCTTAGAAAGACCTCTATAAAGGCATCCCTCACCTTAGGCAGATAGCCCTCGAGTGCTTTGCCATAAGTAAATGAACAAAACCAAACTTAAAAGCAAAAAATTCAGAGCCTTAAATTTTCCTTGACCTCACAGTTCGTCATGGCCCTGGAGTTCAACTATGCCCTGGACAAGTGGTCTGCTTGTCGCAGGACACCCGGTGTTTAGTCTCCAAGTGAACTTGGTGCTCATTTTATCGACCCACTCAAGGGATGAAAAGCTGAGGACACTTTGTCCAGCCCGGGGATCGAACCTCGGTCCTGTGGTGCAACTGCGCGATGTGCTAGCCACTTCGCCACCAGGCTGTCGCTTAAAATTATATGGCTGCTGAAAATGAAGGATTTAATTTTTTCGATTCAGAAATCAACAAGGTAACAAGTAAAGTTGCCAAATGTCTTTTCAGTCATCGAGAGCTTCATTTGCGGGTTCCTTTTTGCAAGCTACACAGAATGGTATTTGAGGGTCTTCCGTTTCATTTACAATGAATCTGAATTCGATGTAGTCATCTTTACACTTCCGTTTGTTTCTTTGTTTACCTTCAATTTGTGAAGCACTAGATTTTGTAAAATATTTTTCCATTACAGCTAAATTAGTAAAATACTTTTAATTAGTTCACAGCAGTGCAACAACATTAAAGGATTTTAAAGACTTACCTTATTTCGCATATCTGTTGATGAGAGAGCCAGTTTGAATCAGCATCAATTACAATTGGGAAAACAAAATATCAAATAAAAATGCAGGGAAACTTAATTAATAAAAAATTCTTTTCTGAAACTGTAAGATAGTTACAAATATTATTTCGAAGTTACAAAACCTATGCAATTTTAATTATTTGTCGCACACCATTGCAGCACATTTAACCCGTAGCACACAGAATGAGAAACACTGTACCAGATTCATCACTGCTAGAATAAATCGGCACCATTATTAAACTAGGATTGTCAATCAGCATGGAAGCTTGCTTGGCGAATGACGCTCGTCTCGGATGGCTCTTCCCAAGGTGGGATCAGCAAGTATGTAGTAGACAGCATCTGCCAAATGACAATAAATCCGTCTATGCTTTTGCCGTGCCTGGAGACTATAGTTACAGCTGGAAAGGATGAGCCTGGATTTCAGGAGCTAGGTACTGTCCCAGCATGTTATTTTGGCTTTTGTTTCAGATTGAAATGAGAGGAACTTTTCTCTACCCCCAGTGACAATCGGGTGTTCATTTGTTCATAGGTCAGTGGCGGTCCGTAGTGTTTTCATTATCTTAATAATCGAAGTACTAAGAAGATCATACACAAAAAACTTTTTCTAGAACACAGACGTAAATGCAGAAGTTACATTCCGATATATACAGATGTCATGTTGTAACATTTTCTTGTGATTGGCAACCATATTGAACAGCAGGCATTTGCATGATGCTTTTTCAATCTTGACTTCTGAATTAACTGCTGTATATAATGGACTTTCATTCATATCCAAGCTAATGCCGAGCTGGCAGCCAACAGAGCGAAAGTTTGGTCTTGAGCTAACCATTCAACGTATCCCTTTGAGAGATGTCATTATTGTTAACCAGCAAAAGTTCTCGAGCAAGTGGCAATTTTATAACAAGCTGAAAAGCATAAAATACAGAGTAAAAAACTGGGAGACTACTAGGAACCGAGAAAGGAAGTCCTTTGTCGACCACTGTTCAATTCACTCGTTTAATTGTTTACTAAAAGCTAATAACGAACTCCTTTGTTTAAATTGTAATGCTGTTCTATCAGTGCGACACATTTTAGTAAAGTGCTTTTATTTCAACGCACTTCGTATAAAGTACTTTATAGGGCCATTAAGTTATATCGATGCAGGAACGTGAAAAACGTGTAGTGCCCTCTCCAGGATTCGGACCCCGGATCTCCCGATAACATACGAGACGTACTATCCAGTTACACCACAGTCGCCAAATCCTGGTGGTGACAAATTATCGTCCATGACCTTTTAGTTCGATTGCACTTGTAAAATGTTTTAGAATTTTTCGATGTCAAGAAATTGAAGAAATCCACAATGCCCTTGCTGAGTTTCAAACTCCGGACTTCCCGATTACGCGTCGGACGTGCTTCGGATATACCACGAAGGTACGTGGAAAGGAGGGAGAAAATACCTCATAAGTTAACATTAATATTTAGGTCACTCGTGACATTTTAATCGGACAAGAGTTAAATTTTAAATATTTAAAAGAAACTGGGTTTTATTACTTAGTCTGAAAGTTTTAAAGTAATTTGATGTATTTTAAATGTTTTGTCTTGTAATTAGATTTTACCTGGTTTACCTTGATTGTATAAATCAATCTGTTCATCACAGGACTAATCAGGGTTCATTCGTATGTCATCTTAGTTGGTTTTATAGTTTCATTCTGGTCCTTTTCTTCATAACATTAATTAGTTGCGCTCACTATATTATTTTAGTTGATTTTAGAATTTTTTGTATTTTGAACAACATGGTACTATGTAATCATATGATTGACGCATCATAACTTCTTTTGTTATGCGCCCCCCCCCCAAAAAAAATCGATCAGCCACATAACCAACATGAGTAGTAAGTTTATAAATGTAGCAAGTTTACATTTCTTTAAATGTTGATGGTATAATTTTCCATTATTTTTAACTTTAGAAATAAAATTTTATATCAGATTTGAATATAGACTTCTGCTGTACTAAACATTGTAGTAAACTAACTTTATTTATTTATTAGCTAAAATGAATTTTTGTTTAAAACTCACAATGGAAGCAAGCATCTAGAGAACAAAACTTAAAAGAAAATTCTAGAATGGAAACCTCTCTAGAGCAAAAAAATACCTTAAAAACTCAAATTTTAAACTGATTGAAATATATTTATATAATGAAAATTAAAGAAATATTATATTTTAAGAAGAAGAGACTAATGATTCTGGTAAATATTTCTGGAAAATGCCAGTCAGCAACAAAAGGAAAAAAGACTAGAAACTATAAAAGAAACTACCAACCCCAATCTTTTCCACAGTTAAAATATTATCAGCATTTAAATAAGGTAAAATAAAACTTGATGTAGCCTAACGCTTTGGTTACCATTTAAGCAGATAGTATTTAGGTGCTGCTGAAGATGTGCAAAGCTTATGAAATTATTATTAAAATGTTTCATGTTATTAGCGCAGCTGAGTGAAATAGAATATATGCAATTAAGGTAATATATAATAATACATACAAAAATAGCATTGTGCATTTAAATTGAATCAGTGGCATTTACAAAAGTACTAGTTACCATGAAAAGCATTTATTGACATTATTTTCACACTGTGTTTTAATATTGATATGTCATGATTTAACACAGTTAAGGCGTTTGAGTACACTATCCTCTATTTTAGAACAGTTTCATTAAAGAATCATAAGTTAGAATAACTATGAAATCTTTATTTATTGGAGAGTTTCTTAAATAGAATACAAATCAAAGTTAACAGTTTTTACAAACATTTAAGTTGAAAGTAAAGAACTTACAAGATACTCATTTATAAGTTTTATATATCTTCAGGCTTACCTATTAGGCAATATTATCAAGCGTATATCCCATAAAAGAAGGCAACAGGCTAAAAGGAATGAAGCACAAATACACTGCAAGTATAATATCTTTAAGACTTCTGCATCTGAAGGTAAGTAGAATCCTCTCTCGCCAATTTATCGTTTGGCGCTCGTTTGCTTTTGACGTTGCCGAGTTCCATTATTCAAAAATGACACTAATTTATTCATGACATAGCATGACTTTATTATACCGCGAGTAGCTAGTGTAATTTACTAGCGTAGATTTCCTATTTTTCCAAAGCTTGGAGAAACAGGCTCCATCAGATGACGATACAGTATGAACCAGTCTCTCAGGATCTCTGAAAGGACTGATGTCAATTGCCAAGATTTTTAAATAGTCAATAAAATTTTCTTCTTCACGAGGTGGAGGCGAATATCAAGCCGGGTGACCAGATTCAACTTTACGTTGTAGTCCAGCCATGTTATTCAATCTTTCGAAAAGATGTCTACTAATTCAACTAATTGTCGAACAACAGTCGACAATTAGTTCATGCTAAGAATGAACTAGTACTTAAAATAAGAATAAGGCACACTTATAGGAAAAAGTGTTGACCTCCTTGCCATGGTGCGTGCGAAACACGACAGGGACGAACGGAAATAATCGGGGTTTAAAAAAAAAACAGTCAGAGCGTGAGTAACTAAAACTAAAGTTGAACTACATCTTTAGAACAACACAATTGCATCAAAAACAAATTCATAATTAGAATTAATTAGTTAGAACTAATTGATTCTAACAGATATGTAGTACAAATATTTATATATGCTAATTCTTGAAATAAATCTTCCACTTCTACATTTGCTTCGATTTTATAAGATTCTGAAAATGTAAAATATTTGAACTTCGATATTTTTTGTCAAACATTTAAGAGTCATTAGGTTTTTTTGAAGCAGGAGATGTTACTCGAACCCTGGGCCTCTCGAACACGCTTTGAGTATGTTTCCAATTACATCACAAAGAAATTCAGAAAGGAGAGAGAAAATACCTTATAACTGCATTAAAATATTAATTTCAAAACCTAAGAGCAGTGGCGTATCTAGAGTAGGGCGTATCTAGAGTAAGTATCATGAGGGCCATGGCAGAGGGCGCCATTTTATGTTTGAAATAAAATAAAATAAAAAAAAAAAAAAGATATAAATATAATTTCAAATATTTTAATGGGAGTGTAGTTTAAATTCTTTCTACAAGCGCCATTTTATGTAGATACATCACTGCTCAAGAGTGATAATTAAATCTCATTGGGTAAATTTTGCTTCTATCTTTTGAATAAATTTATTTTTAAAATCTTGTTCTTGAATTTGTTGTGTATTAAACTCATATTTTGGATTTCGCTTTAAAGTAAAAGCTCTTATTACTAAGTAAAATTTCTTTTCCCCCGCCTTTGTTCTTCTTATCACTTTTTTGATATGAAATATTCGAAAAACTTAAAATTCGAAAAATATGCGAATATTTCTAAAGCAAGAATTTGCAACCGCGGGCGATTTCAGTTTCCGTAGAAATGGGATCAGTTTTTTATTTAGCTTTTTAAAGTGTTTAATTTTAGTTCATGAAAATAAAAAGCTGCTTTTGTTCAAGTTTTGATATTTACCGACATTTTCTATGCTTTTTCTCGTTTAATTTATAAAACGCATTAAAAAATAATCTAAATTTAGGTGAAAAGAGTGCATGGGACGAAAGAGGTTGAGAACCACTGTTTTAAATGAATGCTTTTACAATAACTGTAACTTTTAGTTTCTCTATCCAGTTATTTTATTTTAATACGCTTTGCTGTTTTTCTTGCTTTCCATTTTCCTGCCAGAATGCTAATTTCTAGTTCGCACGTATTCTGATGAAGTAGATAAAAGTAAGTATTTAAATGAAGATTTGAGAAGGTAGAATTAGATAGTAAGCACGTCATAGGGATAGAGCCAACCAACCTTCTGTACTCCTTTTGGAAATTTTTTTGAACTGCCTCTATACCAAAAGAGAAAGATATCCCTGTGCATTATAAAGCCTATTCTATGCTATGCACCTGCAGCCTGGGCGTCAGCCTCAAAGGCAGACCTTCCGCAAACTTCAGATAGTAGAGAATAACATTCTGAGAATTGTAAAGGTTCATACCTAATTAGAAACAAACTGATCCGTGACGACTTGAAAATCGACCCTATAATGGACCACATTACTAAGCTTAAAAAGCGTTTCTTTAAAACTAAACAGCTGTGATGCTGCAAACTTTTCGGAAGTTCTTAGTTACCAGATTATTCCAGAAGATAATTGCAGCAGACCATTTGCTGCTCACATGCTTAAAAATCACAGCTTCGTAACCTAGCTTTATCTGTCAACGTTTACTTGTTTTCCTGTGTGGTGTGACTTTTTGTCTCTCATCACTTTTATTAGATTAGTTCACATGTAGTGCAGGAGACAATGACATCCCCACTTTTACCTCACTTTCTTGAACGTTCCTGGAGTTCGTACCTGCTAGTTCATCAAAGGCCGTCAGGGCCTTAATTTTCGTATCTAGCTGAAGAAGGCTCTTTCTGGTGCCACATAAGCAACTTCTAATCAGTATCAAGTAGGATCAGAGCGTATCCTGCCTGCTGAAGGCCACGTTGGCACTCTGGAGAGCCGGTTATTTGCGGCGTTGCGTTATTCTCGCCTTTAGGCTTGACACGCCGATATTAGATTTTCGAGCCAACTTGCACGTATTTTGTCTGTGTAGCCTTTTGGCTAGCTTACGATTAACTTAGTCTAATTTATATTCTCTTACATTTTTGAATTAAGTCATAAATGATGGCTGGTTCTGTAAGCACAAGCAGTGCCTTCTATTCATCTGTTATCTGAATTAAATAAAAGGGTCTTTTACAGCCTTTCCCACGTTTCTGTCATAATTTCAAAGACAAGTCACTTAAGTCTTAGGTAAAGTTCTCGTAGTTTATGTTACCAAGATGAAAGAAACTCTATACAACAGAGATAGCTGTTAATAATTTGCATTTGCGAAGTTTAAAACACACAGCTGTTTCTGTCAATATTTGTATACAGTTCCCCTAGAAAATATTAATTAGTGGTATTTCAGGTGATTTTTATAATGCGAGAATTTTTCTCCGCGTTATTCTTGCATAGAAACTATTTATTTCCTGATATCTTTATCCTACGAGGCCTATACAAATTTTTAGCATGTTTTAAATTAAAATTGTCAAGTTGTAAGGTATTTCTCCCGCCTTCTTGGCATGCCTTCGTGTTGTGGTGATCTGCACGCTGGGCGCGTATTCCAGAGATCCTTGGTTTGATTCCCGGCGAAGGCGTCGTATATTTTTCATCTCTCTTGCTTTCAAAAATTACCTAATGTCTCTACAAAGTGACTAAAACCAACACCTTCTAGATAGCTACAAACAGATGGAGATTCTTCGAAACGGTTTTGCTAAAACTATCATAGTCTGAAGGCCAACCTCATTTGATTCTTTTTAAAAGCGAAACCATTACAAACTATTTATTATAACCCATCACTGAACAGAAATTTAGTCGTCAATAATTTGAAAGAGTTTGTGTATCACTTGAGAATGAATGGGAAAACTGAATAACATTCTTTGCAAAAGTACGGAAAATGCTCGCAGAAAAATCTGATTAAAAGTGCAATAAATATATAATAAATTATTGCCTAGTCACCTTCGAAGGGCAGGGATTTATCATCAGGGCACAAGGAACATGGGACACAAGGATTAATCGGAGCACACTCATTTCGCTCTTGCCATTCCTAAAACCATTTAGGAGAATGACTTTTTGGTACCTGTAATAGACTGGCCGTCATATCAATTCAATTAGCTTGAATTGTATGAAAACTATAAACCCCACAGAATAGTCTCGATGAATGAGAATGGTGAGACATTTAGCAGCTAAGTTGGTTCTAGAATGATGGAAGTCTATTCTGATTAAAGAAACTCTTCTTTTAAATTCTCTTTGCTCAGTATTTGATATAACATTGAATGGTCCATGTTGTTTATATATTTATTTGAATAGGACCAAACACACGTGGACTACCTGCCTTAGAGGAGATAACCTTCATGGAAGACTTTCTAAAAGAAACTGACTCTAACATAACATATGGGAAAAACCAAAAAATTTGCGTGAAACCTCCTTGTTTCCTGGAATTCGAGTCGGATCGAACTACCTGTATTCAGCTGTTTTAATCCCTCGATTATGGTTCAAAAATGATTTGATTCCTTTTAAACTATAAGACAAACTACACTATCCCGAAAGATGTCACTTCATATGTATTTCTTCAGTACTTTGAACATTAATGTCTTCTAAAATTTAATAATTTGCGAGTTCCTCTTGCGTGACGTTTCAGACTATATATCTCTATTTTTACAGAGTATACCAAACTAAGAATGTAATGTAAAAAAACCTGATGTGGACATCACATGACTTCGGCGTATTAAATTATACACATTTTTTGCTTCACTTCATTTAAACTTATTTTCTCGAATTATTCTAACTTGAATAACCGATCCGTCAAGGCAAATTGAAAATGACTTCAAAAACAGCAAATTTTGAAATTAAATATCGCGGTCAATTTTTGTTGTACGGGATTCAAGCTTCTAGTTTTTTGTTTTCGTAACGAGCGTAACAATTCCCCAAATATTAATGTAGGAATCGGAAGAAAGACATTCTGCATTAGAAGTTAAATTTCATTATTTGTCGAAAATGATTTTTTTGGGGGACATTTCCAAAAAATTTTTCGTCATTTAAAACATTTCCGTGACTGAAGGGAGGGGCACAACTAGATGTTGTAGCAGTCCCGTATGCAAAATTTCAACGCTCTAGAGTTAATCGTTTTGGAGTTACGCCAGATATATACATACGTACATATGTACAGATGTCACCAAAAAAAATTCTGGTCTGAATTTCTTTTAAATACATTTTACAATCCGTTTTCGAAAAAAAATTGTCCTTTACTCTGTCTGTACATATAGACATCACGCAAAAATAAATAAATAAATAAATAATAAAAATCATACAAATAGATTCAAAATGGATATTTCCATTGAAACATGATACAGTAGAGTCCCGCAAACTCGTTTCCCGATAACTCGACAACCTTTTAGGAACTTTTTTAAGATATCTGTAGGCAAAACAGAGAAAATATTACATACAGTACATATAATTATATTTATGCGTATGTCTTTCCTGTTCTGTGCAAAGATTTCAGTGTTCTTTTTCTGTAATTTTTGCCATTTTCGTGTTATGCCATTAATTCTTGGAATTGCCTAATGAATTTCAAGATATATTGTAATACTTGACAACGCTGTTTGCTTCTTTCGAAGATACGAAGAAAGTCAGGTTAGTGAACTGGCCGTTGGCTCACATTTCTTTCTATTGTTGCGAAACGTTAGGAGTCTTGTCTGAAGTTTTGTGACTGCATCTTATTGCAAACTAAAACCCTGCCAGTTCATTGCGGGTATCGTTCCTCAGTTGAGATCCAGGCGTATAAGTGTTACATATTTTTGGGATATTTTGATATTCTGTAAAGTGAAACTGTTGTTCGAAAAGAAAAGACAACTAACTAACGTGCCAATGCAAATGAAACTAGATGCCTTAGAGTGGACAAAGGGAAGAGGGTAAACAAAATTATCATGGGTTTAGATGTTGGGCAAACTACTTTGATGGGGCGAGGGGGGGGCGGGAAATCCGAAATCGAGTCTTGGTGTGTGAAAAGAGAGAACATGTACAGACAGTTTAAAGGAAAGAAAATGTATTATAGATGGTGAATACGAAAATGTGAGCGAGGCGTTTTATTTGTGGTTCAGGCAGCAAAGGGAACACCCATTTCAGCACCAGTTTTAGTAGAGAAAGCTCTAAAATTTTATGCTGAATTTCAAGAAGGAGAGTCAGGATTTACTGCTAGTGCTGACTGGCTCGACAGATGGAAAATGCAGTACGGCATCAGGGAGTTCAAACATTTGTGGGGAAAAGCTATCTTGGAAAATGCTGCAATATTCAAGGATAATTTCCACAAACTAACTGAAAAGGAGAGTAGATCTGAAGATCAAATTTATAATTGTGAGGAGACTGTTCTGAATTTTCAAATGCTGCCTTCAAAAACACTGGCATCCAGGGAAGAATAATAGGCACCTGGCTACAAAAG